TAAGAAGTCTAATGCATGTTACAAGATCTGATTTAGAATCATGTTGTCGTAATTGCACTAAGCATATGCTTCATTAGGTTATCTTTAACTAGTCTCTCCATAATTCTAGATGCTATAGGTGTGATATTGATCGGCCTGTAGTTACTGACTTCGGTTTTCGAGCCAGATTTGTGCTTAGGCATAATAAATGTTGTTTTCCACATATCAGGGTAAGTTTGGGTTTCTAGGGCCATTGTGAATATTTTAAGCAGTAGTAAGGGAATGTCAGGGCCATCATATTTATAAAAATAGGGTGACATACCGTCAGTACCAAAACCTTTTGAGCATTTCAGGGTTCTTATAGTTTGTTTAATGTTAGTATAAGTAAATTCAACGGTACTAATTAAGCTTGGTGTGTGTGGAGATGGAGTTTGTGCCATATTAGTAGCAGGGTGTATATTGAGTAACCGAAATGTGTGCTTAAGGTAGTTACCTGCAAAAGTTGAGTTAAATAATTCACACATGTCTGCAGAATTAGTGCATAGCCTACCTTTGTCTATGAGGAGGGAAATGCTGTGATTTTTGCGATTCATTCGCTTCTTTAAGATTTCTGTGAGTGCATACACTCTATCAGGACTGGCTACTGCGATGCGTTCTTCGTTTCTCATACGGAAATCTCGAGCTTGTGAGATGGAGCTAAGGGTGTTAAGTATTAAACCTAGTGTGCCAAAGTCGTGGTGTTTGAAGTAACTTGTTGAGAGTCTCTTCAGTTTCGTACGATCCTTTGGTTTTATGAATGACTTCCTATGTGGGGAAATCTTATGTGTTTGGAGTGGAATGACAGCATCTAAGCATGTGTTTGAGTTATTGTAGAAGATGCTCAGAGCTCTCGAGAGGTCATCAGTAGTGAAGTATTCGCCCCATTCGGAGGATCTTAGCACTGATTCTACTAAGGTCCAGTTTGCCTTACTATAGTTCCTAAATATTACTTGTTGTGCAGTGGAGGTATGAGCTGCATTGCTATTCAGTGGAAGTGGCAGAGCACACATCACTGTTTTGTGGTCACTACCTGAAAACTTAGAACCCACTAAGATTGAGAGGGTCTTATATCGTGACAGAATATTAAGTCTAGTACATTGTCACCTCTTGTAGGGATAGTGACAGTTTGTTTCCAGCCGAAAATGTCCAGTGTCCCTAAGAGCTTGTCATATTTAGTTGGCCCTTTTAATAAGTCCCAGTTGATTTTGGGTGGGTTGAAGTCTCTACATATGATCTTATGCTCGTATGGAAGAGTGGATACTTGCTCCAGTACATTTATAAGTTGTGTCTCGTAATCACTAAAGGTGCCAGGTGCTCTGTAGATACATCCTATCAGTAGTGTAGCACTTTTGAAGTGTACGTTGACCAATAGGGTATCGTGCATGTCATTGAGTTCCCTATTTTCTAGCTGTAATACAGTAAGTGTGTTCAGGAAGTACATTAGGCAGCCTCCTCCCTTACCACTCTTCCTGTCACAGCGAAAGTGTATGTACCCATCGATGCTTATCTCTTCATCTGGTATATTGGAGTGACACCAGGATTCGGTAATAATAATTATAGGGGGTTTGTATGCCAGCGTGTGTGCCCTGAGCATCGTTAGTTTCTTTAGGATAGATCTAGCATTAATAAGCATTCAGTAGAGTTGAGATTTGAAGTAGTGTTTGAAGTGTTTAAGCTCGTCAATAAGGTTCAAGTGTGGATCGGCATCCACTGTTTCCGCTTGGCATAACAACCCTGTGTTGCAACTAGTTTGGGTGCCATGTTCACCTATATCTGTCAAGTTACTATCCATTTTTTTAGTGAGTAATGGGTTTGATTATTAGATAAACTATACGATGACGTAGTTCTAGGCTTGGGTAGGTTGGAGACTTGGGTTGGAGTTTTTATTTGGTCTATGCTTGTACAGTCATTGGGTGTGATTAATAGTTCCGTGTGTACTAGCCCATGTCTGTTTTCTTCCCGATAGGGGGTCAACATTAGTGGTATGGGTTCAGAAGGGTTAACATCCCCACTAGCTGTTTGGTTAGCGCTGACAGAGATGTGTTGGATAAAAAATCTTTGGTACCCTATGATGCCCATGACTTGTTAATCCGCCTACTGTGTGTGGACATTCCAAGAGACCTTACATGGGTGTCGTTATATGCATAGCTGCACTGTGGTTTGTTTCCCAGAAGGCTTGTTCCGTATAATCCGCCAAAGTTAGTTTGTGTGTCATGCTTTGTATAACCTGAGTACCTGGTGGCTGAGCTCCGAGTGTTGTCACTTATATTACTTTTCGTGAGAGCATCACTACACCAGCTACCATTGTGACTTGGCACAGTATGCGAGTAGGTTGTGTCGTTGTTGACCTTTTTCAACCCCTCATTATCCGGTATGTTATAGACAATCACACTTAGTTTAGTATCAAGTCTTTTGATACCCTCTGTTTTGATAAAGTTTATCAAGGTGTCTACCTTAGTTACTGATTCTGTGTCAAGTTCGCCAGGGTTTATGGTCTTAGTCAAGATGTTCAGAGGGGCAAGTTCACAGACCTGAGATTTTATATCACTAATCTGTGTTGATAGTTCAGATAAGTTGGCCAAATTTTATGAAAAACCTGCATTTATAACTTTACTACACCTTATGTCCCGCATCTCAGCCTTCAGTTCTTCTACAGACAGCTTTAGTCGTTCTATTTCTGAAGTAAGTGTTGGAGCTGGACTTGGTATCTGAAGTTTTGTAACACGTACATAGGGTGAAGTGAAGAGGTTTATGTCAGAACCAGGTGCTGAGTTTGTAGAGGCGATGCTACTGCTGGTTGTCAGCAAGTTTTCGCCCTCAGTTTCAGCCACAGTAGATGGTAGTGAACCGGCAGCTCGACGCTTGCGGCGTATTGGCAAGCTCACTTCCATACTTCGTGGGAGTTGTGCTGCTCGCTGTTGCGAGCATATTTGTACTATTAGTCATCACGTTGACAGGTGACTGAGTTCGTGGCTTTTTTGTATGACTAACCATAACTAATTAGTGAAAGAGTTATTGGTTACAATTATGGAACTGGAGAAACACTTGTGCGAGTCTCACAGCAAAAATAAAAATATATAGCGAATCAAGCTAAAATGTAACGCAAACGTTGAACGTACCGCGTTCAATTCCCTCGTGATGCAACACCACACTGAAATTGTTGAGAAAATTAAATGCGTATACTACTAATTTTAAGTTAACACATCATCCGACTGTAATGCGAAAGTAATGTGCATTATCGTACACAGCAAAGTTATACAGGAGAAATGACCTAAAGCTTCAAGTATTTGTGATCTGTCCTCGGCAGACCTGAATATTTTTGTTAATGAGGGGACAGTGTTTTCATATTTATAATGCGCTACCTATTGATTATTAACCAGATGGTTCCAGCTGAGTGTAAAGTCAAAAAGAACAGTAACAGCTTAATGATTATATATTTATTCCTGTATATGTAACCTCATCGTAAAAGGAATCAATGTGGTTCAAATAATAACTTTTCCATGCTGTAAGACATGAATAAATATATTATTCTGGACCTACAGTTAGTTATTATCACTTTCATGAGAATAATCGGTAGGGTTAGAATACTGCGTACCAATTTCTCACATGTAACTGCCTACAGAGAGAGTGTAGACAGGCCAGTATGACACGTTGATCAATGAACGCCTAGGAAACCAGTCAGTTAGTTTATTTGAACCTATTCGAGCTCGTTCCCCGTTGGGTTAGACCATAAATAAGACTTATAATTAGTATGCGGCCGTCTATGCTGCTACTCTTGGGATTCGCCCATACTACCCGCTGACTCTTTGGTCTAGCCCAATTAGCCCGGTGTCGAGGATGTTCTTTAAACCGCTTCACCTAGTGAAGCGGAATAAAACACATACGTTGCTCAAAGAGGTATTTATGAGATGAGTGCACAGGTACAAAATCATACCACGCGGGAGCTACCATGTATTTGTCCCTTTAAAGCCATTTGGCCAATATTTATTCCAATCCGCGCAGATAAACGGCCGAGGCTAACATGCTTTGACGAACTCCTTTGATTACCTACAAATGAATTCAAAATAAGACTGTATGCAAACTTCCAAATCAGCACAATTAATAACCATAAAAGTTGAGAATGCTATTGAGAGTTCACGAGAAAAGAGAGAATAAAATTACATTACCACACTTATGCTAGCCCAGATACAATAGTGAAAATGACACACTGTCGCCCAGCAGAAAGGATAAAGAAATATCTTGAGTAAAATAATGGCGGTACTAGAAAGTCCACAAAATCCTAAATATATCACAGAAAAGGCCCGAATTTCATTGAAGCGACCATTTCTTGCCTCGAAGGAACTCAAAGGACAGACACACATGTGGTCTCTGGTGTGCCCCATTTATCGCACGAGGAGTGAATAAATGCTGAAAACCGTGTATTTATCGTGCCATAGGCAGGGAGATCTAATGATGATTTCCAGAGTATTAAATAACTAATACGACCCAGATTCATGGCCTATTTCGTTACCATCAGGTCGACACTGTTCACAGGACGCAGAAGGAGGAGAAAAGGACCAAGGACGATCGAGTCCCTGTGACCTATCACAGAAACAACCAATCAAGAGAGCGGCTTACAGGATATATGGTGTCATTGGTAAATCTATCCAAGAGGAAAATAGACAAACAGAGGTACTCAAAAGAAGAACGCCTGCATAAACTCCAGGCTTTCCATCCCTAGCAGAGAATAATTAATGGGGAGAATAATGATTCAATGTACAATGTTGTGTGGTTTATTTGATGTGTGCGTCACTTTCACGTGTTGCGACTGGTTTAGTTGTCCTGAGATGCCTCGCATCACCCAAGTTCTGTATATTTACATTATCCCATAACCGTGAAATCCATGGTTCATACTTTAACCTATCTTCCGGGAGATTTTTAAGTAGATGTAACAAGATTCTTGTCAAGTCGCATCCTCTTAGCTCAGTTTCAAACAACCGAACATGCTGGAGCTGCAACAGGTTAGTATCAGATGTAAATTTTTTCTGTGAATGTGGAAAGTTACAGCCACTTAACGATAATTGGACGTACTTCGATGTTTTGGGTTACTCAAGTCCTCAACCTGTTATTGATATTTCTGAACTAACTGACCGGATGAGGCAATGCCAAAAAATATTACACCCGGACAAATTCAGCGGAAAATCTTCGTACGAATTAGCACTAGCCGCAGATGCCTCTGCATTCGTAAATAAAGCGTATGATGTCTTGCAAAAGCCAGTGAAGCGCTATGAATACATTTTAGGTCTTCATGGAATGTCAACTGATAATTCTGAGTTTCAAAAACTAGATAATTCTGTTTTTCTGTCTGAAGTAATGGATATCATGGAAGAAGTTAAAGATGTCATCGACAAGATCACAAACTTTAGTAGCTCAGGAAATATCGTTGAACTGACGAATGATCTCAGAAGACTTGTGTGCGATCTTCATCAAAGATTGGATGATCAAGAGAAAATCGCCATAGACTTCATGAAGAATTCAGACTGGTCCAATGCCTTGATATACGTTTCACAATATAAATATATTTTGAAGGTTTTAGAGGAGCTCCGAGAACACGAGTTGACTTGGAAAAAATTGGGTATTGATGTGAGTACTAGCCGATAAAAATTTACGAAAGGTGAGCTGTTTGTCATTCTGCAGTCATTACAGTACTCATTTCATTATCACCTGCCAAAATGCATGCATGTGTGTATGTACTTATTCAAATAAAGGAGTTCCGGTGATGCGTGCTAACCTCCTACCATTATAATCGAAATATTGTTTACTTTTTATGCTTTTACTTACAATAATATATGAGCTTAGAAAAAAATGGCTCGGATTCTTCCTGTTGAACAGGTTTTTTATATAAATATTTTGATGCAACTATGTGTCACGTAGGCTGAAGAATTTCAAGTCTAAAGTGCAGTTGTTCTAGGTATTTAGTTTAAATTATTCGGACAATATTACTCAGTGGGCGGTTTCGCAAAATTGATATATATTGACAATACAAACTTCGAAAGTATTCAGCACAGGTGTGTTTGTGCTTGGTCTTTAGTAATAATGGGTTTGTGCTTGAAGAGCGCAGTGTAAGCAGATCAAGAAGGGATTGACTGTTGATCTGGACTGTATTAGCTTTTTGGAACCTACACGACCATCTAAATCTGTGGTTGGATCCGGCATTCGATATAACGCGGAGTTGACAGCAAACAGTCAGTGGAATCTTACATTAGGCGCTAAATACGGTTGTGTAGATGATTTCATTAGTGGGGAACAAATTCTGGAGCATGGTTGTTGATGCTTGCGGCAACCGCTTGCCCAATATATCGATCGGATTAGTGCATTCTTCCGCAGAGTTAGATGTACTCTGGTAATGTTTGTCCTTGTAGGTGAGTTTCGATTGAGTGTATCGTACGAGTCACGGGACTCTACTCGAACTCACGCAGGCATGTAAAGGCGCACGGAGATTTACCATATGAAGTGATAACAACCAGTGGTGTCCGTTAGGGATGTCCAGTGCCAACATATTGTCTAGTTTCGTAGTAGATATTCTTTTAAATTATCCTTATTTGACTTTAGCGACTTGAGGACTTTTTACTAGCGGATAATCTTGTCGGCTTAGAGTATGTGGATACCATTGTCTTTCTAGGTGAAGATGCTAGTAAGATGGTCTTCTGAACACAAGGAGCAGAAAACCTCGAATGTTTGGTATGCGATTCGCACCTGCCAGATTTAAGACGCTGTTGCTGAACTGGATTACGTTAACTCCTAATTTGGAGGTAGGAATTGAGGTGGTTACGCATGTTGTCTACCTCACATATTTGGAAAGTTGCATCAGAGGACAAAATCTCATCAGAAATGTAAAGGGGTCGTGTGGCATTTCCTAACTTACGTCATCTTCGGCTTAAATGTGGAATCTGACTATCGGTCAAATAACTTGTGTACTTCACAGAAGTTCACTCTGTCCTCCTTAATGGCTGTGAGACATGAATATTGAAAGTGGAAGATATGAATATACTGACTGTCTTTGACTGTAGATGTTTGCGGCCTGTCTCCCTTTTTAAGTGGTGTAATATCGCGAGCACTATTGAGGTTAAGCGTAACCATGTGTAAAGAAGGCAAGTAAATTGATGAAGTTTTGAAGCTACATTAGTTAGCATGGCTAAGACACGTGCTATGCATGCGGAGCCACCGCCTTCCTCGTCGAGCATTGTTAGGTGATATGGTTAGGAGTAAGTAAACGGAACCTAACATAAGTCCATAAAGTCTTCAATTCTTGGTTTCAACCGAATAAAGGTGTGCAAACTGTCCGTCGGTGTTTCAGGCAATCTCCCACATCTACTAAATCCTTATGCTTTCCATGTTACTGTTCTGTCTCTCGCATATTTCCGTTCATTATAGTTCTTCTAAACTTCTCTTTTTTGTGAATTGTGGCAACTTAAACTGTTGAACTTTTATGCATTTCTATGTTGAAACTCAGTCTGTCACAATGAACGAGGATGTGTGAATGGAAGAATAAGTACATGGAGTTCATAGCGAGTGAATACATCTCTGTCATTGAGACCAGTTTTCATCTAAACTATCAAAAGCCTCCAGTCACTGGTTCTTAGTCTCGATGACCCCAGCCAGTCAATTTACACCTCACTCAAATCGAACCAACAGTCAAGATTAATTGATTGGATTAATTCTGTCTCTGGATTTGATCACACCTGACTGGTCCAACCCAATACTATGTCACCTAACATTTCTCGATAAGAAATGCAAACAGTTGGCATGCATTACTCATATCTTAGCCACCTCATTCGATGTAGCTTTACAACCTTATTGATTGTTTCCTCATTTATTCAGTGGGACGATAACGAAATAGTATTTTGGTATAAAACACATACTGAAATTCGTGTTCTGATGCTCTGTTGATATCATCATCTCGTAGGATAATTTTGTGGTGCAGATAACAGTGTCTGGGATATAAGCACAATAGGAGATAGAGAACCTTTAGTTTTTACAGTGTCTGCATCTTATTTACCTAGGGTTGAATAAAAGGCTTGTTTGAAGACCGATTGAATTGTTGTTTAAAGTATCCTACCAGTCTGTCTAAAGTTGTTAAAGCTTAATTACTGCAGGGGATTGCTTCATCTTTCCCAGATTTGTTTTGGATCCCTTCTCTCAAATTAGTTGAGACCTACTACATAAAGTTGACGTCTTTTCTACTTGTTTCCCCTTCGTCAATCATCGTTGCTCACAGTTGTTGCCAGCAGGATCGAGCCTTTTTGAGTTCGAAGTAATTTAAGATATTTTTATAGGTTTATAAGGCGCACTCATTCGAAGCTATTGTTGTAGTTTGCTTGCCGTTTCTTAAGTATTGCTTACAGATTCCAGCTGCTATGCGAACTTCGTATTTGTGAATAAGTTGTTTGCTAGATTATGCATATATATATATATATATAATATATATATATATATATATGAGTTTCCAAAGTATAATGAAATAAGAATATTTTGAACAGATTGGAGATTTGGTTCATTTCGACCGATAGGTGATACTGTCTAGCCTAGCTCCACCTAATTCACCTTGGCAACTATGGAGTATCATTACCTCCCACCCAAGTGTGGCTCATACACAGCTTGATACGTGAGAAATCCGTTTTGTGTAACCAGGTTCCAATTAATTAATTAACTAACTAAAGTATTCACTGTATAGTTAAGCTTGTTCTTTGAGGATCTAGTGCTTAGCTCAACGTTACAAAAAAGTACATCTAGAGGTTGGCGATTTGGAAGATCGTTTTTCTCTATGATAGTCGTATTAACTGACTTGTGAAGATTTCTTGTTTGATGAATGTACATGATATACTGTGTTTGTTCAATCAGGATGCGTATGACTGCCAGGAATTGTGAACACTGGTCGGTGGTGACACTATTTTTTTTCTTGAGATTTGCATCTGGGTACAGAAGTCGTATGTTTGAGTTATAAGACCAAAATTTGACTGTTTGGATTACTTGAGTGATAGTTGACTGAAAGTTTATCAGCTTTGTTATCTCACTGCTTATAGTAAGGATAATAGAAAGAGTAATACTAATAATGGAATAGATGTATGCTATTTGATAGCAAGTTAATGTCAGTCCTATCAGTTTGACGTGTATATATGACATGGTCTTCACATAACGTTATACTGTAACAACAGAAGACAAGGGCCAAGCAACAGATCGTTTATTAAGGAAAATCAACGCATTTATAGATTTTAATGTACATTATTGTAGATTATTGTTAATAGAAGATACAGTCTTTTGATTGGTTGTTTCTCACAGAAAGTTAACCTTGCATCTCCTTGTGGCTGTGTCAGATCATCCATATGCTAGCTGTATCCGCCTACGCAAAGTCTTTGTTCTCATTTTCTCACCACCAATATTGGGGACATAAACATTGACGTCATTTACTGTCTACCAACTTTGGCTAGCAGCCAGCTCTCACCGCAATACTAGTACCAGAAAAGCAAAGCAAGAACGGCAACTTAATTGTCTGGAACGGAATTTATGTTTAGGGGGTCGATGTTGCCCGACCGTGATTCTCGTTTAGGTAGCCAGGTTCCATTCATGAATAATCACATGTAACACCATGGTATATCAGATAGTAAGGGTATTGAATACCTTCATCCTAACGAGTTAACTGAGAGACTTCTAATATTAACTCGAAATATCAATGCAGCTGGAGAATATTGATTTTGTGGAATTAATTATTGCAACAGCAGCATATTTTAATAACATTTGCTGAATAAGTGTCTGACCATCTTTTGATATCATAATCAAATATGTACGATCATAGTGAAATTAGGATTTGGAACGCATTGTAAGGGTTAGGTTTAGCTTAATGTAGACCTAAAACAACCACCCTTACAAAACTTATTCACCGCTTTCTGATCTTAGCTGTACTCTGCCTAACGTGCAAGTACTAACGAACTGAATCAAGGTAAAAAGACTCGAGATGGCAAGTGTGCCTGGAACAGAGTTATATTTTACACAAATGAGATATGAAATTTGATAAAAATAAGAGGTTATACACTTATCTGCTGCCTTGACCGTGGTAGGCTCGGAGAGTGCACTGAATGAAAGCACAACGAGAGAGCGAACCCAAAAGGTGCAGGAGAGTCACGAATCGAAAGAGGAAGAAGTGCCAAGAAGTGGGTGAGTGCGTTCAAACAAAAGTTCAAAGGCTCAATGTACACTACAGCATCATATCAATTCATTGTAATATCTTAGCAATGTGGCATGTACCATCATCTTGTATGAAGCAATAGTCAGTGACTGTGTCCTTGTCCATTTAGTATACGACTGTAAGGAAGACACTCGACGTTTATATATCTATCTCTATGTCTATAAGGTTTGCAGGATTTAAAACTGAATGCATGTCGTATCATCGCTAAAAATCATACTGATTTAAACAACTCCTAAGGTGTCTATAATAAGTGTAATGCTCTCAAAGAACCATAGAAATTCAGCAATTTCCCGATTGATAAGTCAGTCGGAACACGTAGAAAAGTAATCCAGCCGCCTTTCGATACCACACTGGAAGGGATATAATGATTGATCCTGGAGGTGAACAGGCAGTTTCTGAAGCTTTTTCTAATCTAAAA